AGCCCACATGCTGCATCACGCTGGCGCTCATGACCGACCCCGTCGTCGCGCTCGACGGCGAGAAGCTGCTCTGCGCTCCACATGCTCCAACTCCCCGCGCGTGACCCCACGCCGCGTCATATTCCGCAGGCAAGAGCTACGAGCGGAAGGCGATCGAGGCGTACTGGACGAGAGAGAAGGCCGCCGTCTCGCCGGTCACGCGCAAGCCGCTCCAGTCCAAGACTCTCGTCCCAAACATCAACTTGCGCGTCCTCTGCGAGGAGTACTCCGCAAGGCAGCGCCGACTCCACGGCGGCGCAACCTCGCCGCAGGACGTCGTCATGGGCGCGCTGCTCCCGCCGCCGCACGCGCCCGGCGCGAAGCGCAGGCGCCCGGCAGAGCTGGAGCACGACGAGCAGGCCGCCTCGGGCGTGGCCGCAGGCGCCAAGCGCAAGCTTCGGCTGGCCTCCGGAGACGGATCTCCGCCACCGGTCTGACGCGGAGACGGACTGACCCTCCGTGAAGGGATGTCAAGAGAGAGGCGGGGTCGCTGACGCGGCGAGGAGAGAGACGACCGGCCCAGCATACTGAGCGCGGGGGGCACACGCGGTGCAGTGTGCTCAGTCCTCAGCGCTCTCAGGCAGAAGAACGGGGCGCGGTTTGTGTTTCGGTGTGGGGCGGGAGGGCGCGGGAGACCGGCGGCGGCGGCGGCGGCGGCGGCGGGGGGGGGGGGGGGGGTCCCCGCGATCATTGAGTGTGGCAAGCGTGATGCCTGTGATGCATCTCCCACCGATATCTCTCGTGACACCGACGGCAGAGGTGGCACCCCACTTCTCCAAAATGTATGTTCATTTTGTGTGCCGACATCACATGTGTGTCGAGAAGTTTACGTTACCTTACCTATCACATATGTAGCTTGTGTGGGGCAATGTGGGACCGACGAGCCAATGTGTACGTGCTATTCTCTGTCCGCGCAGGTACCGCGGCCCGGCCCTCTCCTTGAGTTTTAGACGAAGGTCTGGTGCACAGCGATGATACCATCCGGCGCCGGGTACTCGTCCATCAGCGCCGCCACCTCCAGCTCGGACGGCCCGTTCGGGTACTTCTTCTCGTCGTAGATGATCACGAGCGACTCGTCGCCTGGCTGGAGGAAGTTCTTCTGCCCCCACTCAGTGTACTCGCCAGCGCCGAGCGCGACCCAGATGCTCGTGGGGTACTCGCTCTTCTTCATAACCGGGAAGACGGGCTCCCATTTATCTGTCCGTGCAAGGGCAGTGCGGTACAAGTCTCATAGTGTGGAGCAAGTGGCTCGCTGCCCCCCCCACCCCCTTCCCCCGGAGCCGCACCTGTGTCCTCCTGGAAGTTGATGCGGTCAACGATCCAGTCAAGCAAAGCCGGGCCGAAAAGCATGTAGTTGCGCGCAGGCGCGTCCTCGCTGTACTTCACAATCGCCCCCTTCGGCCTGGCGCGCGAGGGCGGTCGGGATGGTGTGGTAGGGGTGGTGTGTGTGGGAGGGGGCGGGGGAGCATCTGTGGGGTAGGGGACGTGGCAGGGGAGACGGCGGTGGAGGAGAGGGAGAAGGAGGTCGCTCACGTCGTGATGGCGTCGTTAACGTGGTTCGGCCCCGACTTGATGTAGGAGGTGAGGACGAGCTGGTCGACGAGCGTGCCCGGGTCGAGGCTGGTGATTGGGAAGCTGCGGATCGAGATACCCTTGGATGAGCTGCCCCAGTTCTTCTTCATGCTCAGCTTGTCCGCACCTGAGAATGAGGGCGAGGAGCGGTGGCCGTTTGCGGGCGCGCGTCGCCGCCGCTCTACTGCGGGCCCGCACCGTCAAGCTTGCGGATGGAGCAGTCATTGAAGGCAGCAACCTTCCTCGGCACGAGCCGCTCCACCTTCGAGCCGTCCGCGCTGTAGACAATGTCTGCATACATCCCCATCTCAGGCTCAACCTGCGAGGCAGCGGCAGGGAGGGCGGCGAAGGAGGGTCGTCGCCAGTGACGGGAGCGGCAGTGAGGCTGCGAGATCAGAGGCTGTGAGAGAGGTGGCGGAGGGAGGGGAGGCGACAGGCCTGAACGTGCCCTCCCGCCTTTGGGTACTCGATGACAGCTGTCGCCACAGGGAACGCCTCAAGCCGGTGGAGCACCTGCGGCGCAGGTTGTGCAGGCGTTAGGAAGAGAGCCCGTGGCGGCGGTGGTGCCGCCGCACCTCTGCGCTGGCGGTGCAATCCTCTCCGCGCGCTCTCTCTCTAGTTCTCTCTCTCTCTCTCTCTCTCTCTCTCTCTCTCTCTCTCTCTCTCTCTCTCTCGGCTCATTCGCGACGGCTGCTGCACCTCGTCGGCGCTCTCGTCCACGCTGTGAGGGTGCGGCGCGTAGAACGTGAAGATCGCCGCCGGCGTCTTCTGCCCCTCCGGAGGCGTGGTCTTGTCGTCCACGCCCTCCTCCTTTTTGTCCGCCTCGCCCGCCTGCTCCATGTGACCGGCCACGTTGCCGGCGACGCCCAGCCCGTACGTGCGGTGCCACTGCTTGAGGCGCGCGGACTTGCGCGCCATCTGGATCATGTCGTAGTGCGCGCAGAATTCATCAAAGTTGATTTTCCCCGAGCCGTCATCGTCCAGGTACCTGCAAGTCACGCGTGCCTTGCGTGCGTGGTGTGTGTGGCGTGTCGTGTGCGATTCCTCGGCGTGGCGGAGAACAGAGGGTTGCCAGTGGAGCGGCGGGCGTTCACGACCGGAGGTGTTGACCCACAGAGGCGCGCGGTCAGTGAGGGAGGGAACGGACGACTACAGGCGAGCACTTGCAAATGACGTCGGCCATGATGTCGATGTCGTGCTTGCGGCACATGTCTTTGATCTCCGCCATGGTGATGGTGCCTGCGGAGGGCGTGCGAGCGACGTGACTCTGCAGCCGATCGCCACCGCCGTGGGCCGCTCATATAACAACAAGGCGCGACGGGTGCGACGGAGCTGACCGTCATGGTTGATGTCCATCTGTCCAGGGGAGTAGGACGGGTGAGCTTTCAGCGAACGCTTCCGACTCCTGTGTCGCCCAGGCTTTCTACGGGCAAGGTGGATCCTCCATCCGTGCCGTGGTGCCGGGAGAGAGGCGGCTGCGGGCGGGCAGCGGGCGACTGCTGCCTTGCTGAAGACGGCCCATTCGTGAGGGTTAGTATCCCTGGTGCACTTTTGAACGTATGTTGATTCTTTGGCGCACAGCCCCCGCGCGAGCGCTGGTCGGAGCAGCAGTCTCGAGGATCGTCCGACTCGCGCAGAGGCGACCGAGGATGCACGGAGCATTGTACAGCCGTTCTCGCGCTAATCCCTCGGCTCGCTCTGGACGGATTGATTCGTAAGGGTAGGTAGGTAGGTAGGCCGGCTGGTGCTACCTCACACTGTCTAGGCAGAGACAAGGAGGGCCCCCGCACACACGAACCCACACATACAGCTCTGTGTCTTGATTTGCCAACAATACACCTAAGACACATACCGAGAGGGACGAGTGCACGCATTGGGCATCAGAGAGAGAGCCATCCACATAAAGTGTCTGTTGCTGTTTGGCTTGAGCCAAGCAGGCACACCCGCGCGCGAGCGATTAGGCCAGGCCCGAAGCCTGACTCAAGCCAAGGTGGAGCACAGGGACAGGGACACCGTACTCACGTACTGACATCCCGCCCCGCGCCAGGGGCGGTGGCGCGCGCCGCGCCGGGACACTTTGGACCCGCAGCCTGGCATACGCCAGGCCACAGATCCGCCGGCAGAGCCTTAAGCTGCATCCGCGATCCGCGCCGGCTCTCAGGAGAGATCCGGCGCGGTGCTGACCGCGTCCTCGCAGGCCACCGAGTTCACGATGGTGTCCGGAGGGAAACGGTGCAGCTGCGCGCATGTCGCAGTGCGGCATGCCGCAGTGCGTCACGCGGCGGATTGATACACGGTGATTATTTTATTTTATTGAAGCCACACGCAGTGTGTCTTGTTAGCTTGTGTGTGTCTGTGTGTCGCTCACGCGTGTCGTCATCATCTGTCTCGCGTCCACCCATACCGCGCTGGTTGGTGTCCAGTCCGAGCCTGACTGTTCTTCACCTTCCTACCTAACCTAACCTAAGCATGGTGCCCCACCGACAGGATGCTGCTCGAAGAAAAGGTTGGCACCCTGGCAAAAAATCTATTAAAACGTGATCCGGTAACGCGCTCCTAATTCCGCAGCGACTGTTGTATTTCTGTCACGCGCGCAAGTTGGCCCGTCGTCGCAGTCACGACGCAGTGATATGGCGCATCGCTGCGTTGCGCTCGTGTTGGCCGCCGGCGCGGCTGCTTCTTCGTCGACGCTCCCGCCGCCGCTGCTCCGCCCGATTTCTCCTGTGGCTGCGCACCCGAGCAGCACGTCTCCGCCCAAACCTTTGCCGCCCGCATCGCCGCGCGCCAATGACTGTCGGTGCGAGAATTCTCTTGCCGATCGCGTCTCAAAGCTTTGGAGCGCCGCCCTCGCCACCCTCCTCGCCCTCGCCGCCCTCCTCGCCTCATGCGCATACCGCTTCCGCAGGGTGCCGGCATGCCTCGCTTCCCAGCCCCAGTATCTCTCTCCCTCGCTCCCTCCCCTGCTCCCCCACCCTCTCCATTCCCTCGCCGAGCCTCTCCCTCCCCTCCGCTGCGGTGTCTCGTCGAGGGTTTGTGTGCAGAGCATGCATGTGAAGATGAACAATCAACAGCGGCGCCAGGGAACCGTGGGCTGTGAACAAACAGCGAAAAAAAAATTAGAAAAAGAAGAGGAAAAAAGAGGCGCCGATATCATAACTCTCTACACGCTACACCCCCGACGGCTCTAGCACAGGCAGAAGCCACCAGCAACGCCAGCAGCACCAGCACACCAGAGCAGAGCGCATGGCCTCGCACGCAGCTGTCGACTTCGCCATTCTCGTCAGGCCTCGGCATTCTCGCCGGCGCAGCCTTTTCCCTTTGCGCGCTCGGATTGACCGATGACCAACACGTCATGATGGATGACGGGGGGCCGCTAGAATTTGACGAGGATTTCTTCATGACGTGGCTGCTCCCGCCTATCATCTTTGAGGCCGCGTTCAACCTGAATGTGGACGCGTTTCAGGCGTCGCTATTCCCGACCCTCCTCTTTGCCTTCTTGGGCCTTCTGTGCTCGACCTCTGTCATCGGGACGTTGCTGTACACCGCCGGCCAGGTTGGCAGCGGCTTTGCCGTCCTCCCACCCTCTTTTACGGGGCGCATCCTCCGTTTCTGTAGTAGGTGGGGTTGTGCTACCCGCTAAGCCTACTTGCCTCGCTCACCTTCGGGTCGCTCGTCTCGGCAACCGACCCCGTCGCTGTCCTCGCCACGTTCAACAAGCTGGGCGTCAAGCAGCACGTCTTCGCGATGGTCTTCGGCGAGTCCATCCTCAACGACGCGGCTGCCTTGGTGCTCACCAAGACGCTCCTGACGTTTCACGACGCGCCCGTCACCACCTCTAGCGTCGCTGCGGCGTGCGTCAGCTTCCTTTGTCGGCACTGCTCTACAAGCAACTTGAGGTCCACCGCCACGGCGACGCCTCCCTCGAGGCGGCGCTCTCCTTCACCTTTCCGTGGGCCTCCTACTTCCTGGCCGAGGCGAAAGGGCTCTCGGGGGTGGTGGTGAGCGTCGCCGCCGCACCCTCTTCACCACCAATACACCGCCACGCGGCCGCACCGCCTCTCACCACCACTATACCACCGCGCGGCCGCCGCCGCGCCGCGCCACGCCCGGCTCCGCTCGCGCGCCCCCTAGGCCATCGCATTCTGCGGCATCGTGATGGCCATCTACACGCGCAACAACCTCTCCGACGGAGCGGTCGCCTTGATGGTCGGGCTCTACAAGGTGCTGGCCTTCGTTGCGGAGCAGTCCGTGTTTGTCTATCTTGGGATGGCCCTTCCGCTGCTGCCCATCGCGGGAATGGTGCGTTTGCACCCCCCCCCTCCCCGGCCAGGCGGCGAGGCAGCCACCACCTCGCAGGCGGAGACGCCGCCCAAAGCGCCTTCACCCGCCGCCGTGCCGTCATTCTTCTCCCAGCCAGCCACGCTGCTCAGTTCAACGGCCCACAGACACTCCATCACAGGTGTGGCGCCTCTCCCTCGTCGCGATCCTCTGCTGCTACGTCGGCCGCCTCCACGTCTTTCTCTTCTCGCAGCTCGCCAACCTGGTCGAGCGGCGATCCCCCTCGACGAGGCCGCCGCGGCTGCGATTCGGGGACGCGTGCGTGGTGTGGTGCGCCGGCCTCCGCGGCGGCGTCGCCTTTGCCATCGCCTCGAGCTCGCGGCACCGCCTCGACTTTCCGGAGCGCTGCGGCGGCTTTGCGCATGACTTTGGATCGTGCGACTACGAGACGGTCGAGAATGACTCGACCGCGATGCTGCAGGCGACGATGGTGTGCATCATTTTCACGATCTTTGTGGGTGGCGGCTCCATGCCCGCGATTGCGCGCCGCTGCGGCGTCGTCGAGAGCGTCGAGGCCCCGCCCCTCGAGTCGCCGTTTCTCGACAGCGTCGTCGGCGGTGCCCTGCCGAGGGCGAACGAGGGGGAGCCGCCGAGGGAGAAGAGCGGCAGCCACCTCGAGCACAGCGGCCTGATTGACTTCTTCACGGTGTGTGGCCGCAGCACCGACTGCACGTCTGCGCTGCGCTTCGATCCCGCCAGCTCGCGCCATTCGCTCTGCGAGCACGATTTTGAGGTGGACGCGCCTCGCCTTGGGCGTCTCTCCCTTGCCCGCGACCCCGCGCTCCCCTCACCGCCCCGCATCTCTGGCCGCACCTCTTCGTACGACTACGTCGGCGGCCACGCCTACGAGGGGGGCACCGGCCGCCTCTCCTCGTATTTTGGCCGCCTCTCCGCCAGCCGCCTCTCGACCAGCGGGGTGGCGCCCCCGAGCTGGGACCGATCCGCCGCGCAGCTGCGGGGCAGCCGTGACGCGGTTTGGCACGACCGGTTCTCCGCTTCCTCTCTCGTGGCGCTGCTGGGCAGGCCCAGCCGCCCTCCGCCGCGAGTGCCTTCGCCCGCCGAGCCCTCGCATCAGACCATCCACGAGGGCGAGGACGGCGACGAAGACGGCGACGAAGATGGCGAGGCCGGCGAGGGCCCGCGCCAGTCCTTCATTCTCCACGACAGCGACGACGACGACGGCGACGATGCCATCGGGCAAGGCAGCGGCGCAGCCAACAAGACCTCTCGCGCTGCCGTCGCAGTCGCCGCAATCGGCATCCTCGCCGTCCTCGTCGTCACCGCGGTTGCGGGGAGCTGGCACGACTCACGTCGGGCGCTCGAGACGGTTGGCCTCGCCCTTGGCGCGACGCTCGTCCTCTGCCTGGCCGTCTTCGGCGCCTACTGCGACGTGGTGTACGGCAGTGACACCAGCGGGCGGCTCAACGAACACTCTGACATGCTCGAGCCCGACGAGTACGACGAGCCCGCGAGCACGTCATCCGATGATGCGCGGGCCCGCCCTGGCCCGGGTGAGGCTCTCGAAGGCGTTGTCGCTGCTTCGAGGGCCGCTCAGCCCACCCCTGCCCCCAGTCTGCAGAGCAGCCTGACCGTCAGTCTCGTCGCGGAGCAGGCGGAGCGCGAGCTCACGCAAGTCGGCAGGCAGGTCTCGGAGCATCTCGGCAGCCTTGGCTACAGTCCCGCGCGCGTAGCCGGTCGCAGATGCTCCACGATATCACGGTTGGGCATGGCTGTTCACGCTTCCGCACGCTGAGATCTCTCACCCCACGCGCTCTCACGCGAGCCCCTCCTTCTCCTCTCGCAACAGGTCGCGGACCTCACCGGAAACGTCGAGGCGCCGGTGACGCCCACCTCTTTTGACATCGCGCCCACGGACGAGGAGGCGGAGTCGGGCAGTGGGACGATGGTCTCGGTGGCGGCCGAGTCGGACAGGGCAGGGAGCCAGCCGAGCACCCCGTCCACTGACCCGGACACCCCTTCCCGGCGGACGCCCATCTCGCCCCTGGGCCTCCACGCGAGCTACTGGGCAGAGCGGGCCGTCGCACGGGCGAGCGGCATGTGGCCTTAGCTTTGTGAGGCCTCGACACAGGTAGAGAGCCCGTCTGTCTCCTAGAGGTGAACGCCGCCGAGACCCTCGATCTTCCACGTCTTGGTGTGCACCACGAGGCTTGCATGCGCCGGGCTGACTGTGGATGCTAGCTAGTAGAGGTGATACGTACGCGCACGGAGCGGAGCCGCAACGAATTCCGGACGCTGGAGACGGTGGACGGCGTACGCGAAAGGGCTTTCACACCCTCACGATTTTTCACACCTTCGAGAGACGAAGGCGCGCTCAGAGCTGTCAGTCATGCCGCGCCCCCCATCGCCTGCGCCCGGGCGCCCATGCCGCGCCCCGACGCGCGACCGACCGACCGCCCCGAGCCGTCCGCCGCGCCGCAGGCTCCTCTCCCGCGCACAAACTCCAACCGCAAACCAACGATCGTTGTGTGTGGGTGGCGGCTCCATGCCCGCGATTGCGCGCCGCTGCGGCGTCGTCGAGAGCGTCGAGGCCCCGCCCCTCGAGTCGCCGTTTCTCGACAGCGTCGGCGGCGGTGCCCTGCCGAGGGCGAACGAGGGGGAGCCGCCGAGACCATCCACGAGGGCGAGGACGGCGACGAAAACGGCGATGAAGATGGCGAGGCCGGTGAGGGCCCGCGCCAGTCCTCCATTCTCCACGACAGCGACGACGACGACGGCGACGATGCCATAATAAAAACGGACACCTCTACTGTGAGATGGGTAAAGGAACAGGTGCGCCGATTTTCGAATTCCGCGGGACTCATCACTCAAGCTTTTTGATGGAACAGATGCTCTCCCTGATCGCCGCCTCCCAGGGCTTCTCGCCCAAGCCCACGGGCTGCGTCACGGAGGCCGGGATGAAAGAGGTGCCCTTCGCACGCTCCGCGTCGGATGCCCAGCGCTCGCACGCCCCGATGCCCAGCGCGAACCTGTGTAGTGGTCGTGAGTGCGCAGTCGCAATACGCGCGCAGGCGCAAGCGGCGTGGCAAAATGCCATCGTCTCCATCGGCGTGGCGTGGATCGGCGACATGTCGGACGGCGTCCCGGACATGAACTGCACGGCGGCCGTGCTTGCGGCCAAGGGCGCCCTCAACGCTGCATACGGGTATGAGGCCAACAAGGACTCGGACCCGCCCGTCCTCTTCAAGCCGACGTGGACGGTGGAGCCCGACACCTTCCGCCCCACGTACGCGGGCGCGCTCTCCTACTTTATCGGCCATGAGTGCTCGGACATGGACGCCGTCTCGACCGACAATGGCTTCGCCTTTGGCTACACGGCCCTGAAGCCAGGGCCGGACAGGGACGACAAGAAGAACTGGTGCGCCGCCCAGCCATGCCGTGCTCATGTGGGCCGGCGCCGTTGTGCGCCCAATGACGCCGCGCGCGCACACACAACGTGTGCGCCTTGCGCCCCTCAGGCTCGGCTGGGAGAAGGCACACTTCCACTCCATGAAGTTCCTTGAGGGGGGAGCCTGAGACGGGGTCGGCAGTGCCCCTCTCCTTTGAAAGGAACCAAACAATATGCGCTACGGCATTCCCGGCCAGGTCTGTCTCCACCGGATGGCCATTTGGGTCGGCTGACACGTTCACAGTTGCCTCCTTATACAACGAGCCCTCGCTTCCCTCATCGAGCCACAGCTCGTATCGTTTGGAGTACGCATTGTCAAAGGTGACACTCACGCTGCAAATGTGGAGAGGCGCGCCAAGGTCGACATACAGCCAATCCCACCAGGCGCTTTCGTTTCCTTCGAAACTTGCCTGCTCAGGTGTATTCTTTTCTTGCTTGGCCGGACATCATGCCGGGGTAGGTAGGGTAGGGTCTGGGCCCTCCCGTCGGGTTTTTCCCTCTCTCACGCCGGAATTTTCACAGCAGAAAAAGAATTTTTCCGGCCAAATCACGATGTCAACCCTCCCCAAGTCGTTGATCTGGTGCTTGTAGGGCTTGAGAGTGGCCTGCCATGTCACAGGAAGGACTGTGGTTGCAGGATAGTACCACCAGCCATCACTTTAGTTGGTATAGTACCCCACCTTCACCCATCCCGTGATTTCTTTTTTAGTTCCCCATAAGTAAGGTAGGTAGGTAGGTAGGTAGGTAGGGGCAGGGCAGGGGCCGGTCAGGTTTTTGCAGAATTTCAGCATGATGTCCGGCCAAGCAAAAAAAACATACACCTGTTCTGTTGGTCCCATCACAGTTGTCCGCACCTGTTGTCCGCAGCTGTCCGCACCTGTTTGCACCACCTGCCAAACAGCGCCTTCCCCGCAATCGCTTCACTCTGAAATGCTCGCATATCCCTGCGGTGAGCGCTGTGGTCGCCGCAGACTGGCTCCGACTTGACGGCGGCATGGAGACGTGATGCCTCCATGCCGCCGTCGAGTCAAAATCGACATGCGTCTCTATCCTATCTCTCTCTTTAGCATGCAGAGAAAGTTGTGTTTGGGAGTGAGTGCCGTTTCACCTCATGTGGCCGAGCAGCGAGCACGGCGCCGGAAGACGACGTGTTCCTTTTACATGTATCCGCGCTCCACCTCTCGTGTCGCGGCACCCGCAGCGATGACGGATGAAAAGAAATCCTCCGTGGCCTGCCGACATATCGCGCTCGAAGGCAAAGGCTGCCGTGCCGTACGCCAGAATTCATGATCGCTGTGCTCCCAGCGCTCGTGCAGCGGCCAGCGTGGCGCAGCCCGTCACGCAGCGCGCTGATGCAGCAGCAGGACTCCGGTGAGCTCGCGGCACAGTTTGCCGCTGAGCGGACCCGAAGGCAGCAGCCGCAGCAGCAGCCGCCAAAAGCTGCGGACCCGGGGGAGGAGCCATTCGCAGGCGTGCGAGAGATTGTCCTCGACGCGGACGGAGCACCACGTGCTATCCCCAAACGGCCGCCGCCTGCCACCTTCGCCGAGCAGGCTCGTCTCTCTCTGTCTCCTCCCTTCTCTGCCTCCTGGCCCATCCCAAATCTCCTTCACTATACACATAGGGCGGCACTCGCCCCTCGCTAGTCGGGCTCGCTTTCGGCACGCTCATCGCCGTCGCCTCTGTGGCGCTACTGCTAGCCATCGCCGGCGCCGACGCCGGCGCGTCGTGACCGTCACCGCCAGGGTAGCTCGGCCGTCTGGCCAAGCGAGGTGCGACGAGACGCGTCGGTGTAACAAGGGCTCCGCTCACTGTGTAATTGTGTGGGTTGGGAAAGCTGGCGAGCGATGCATCGCTAACCGAAAACGGCGGTATGCACGTTCCCCCACCTTTTGAGCAAACTAAAGGCGCGGGTGCCGGGTCTGACACCCGTCCTTCAGATTTCACCCTTCGTTCCGGACCCTCCACGACGGCCACAGGCGCACTGCCCTCCCCTGCGGGCGAGAGCGCGACCCTCACATCAGGAGCTGGGGCGAGCGGAGTCGCTCCCGAGGAGCAGCTTCTCGCACTGGAGGCAGACCCGCTCCTACAGAGTCACGCAGAGCCGGCGGTGAGGGGGGCGCGGGCGGGGCGCTCTGCGTGGGCCGGCGAGGGCCGCCTCCGCCGACGATCCGAACTTTGCAATCACGCAGCGGCGCGGCGAGCAGCTCGCGCAGATGACGCGGCCGCAATGGCGGCAGTGGTGCTTGCGCAGATTGTTGGTCGACGCGTAGTTGGTCCGCGCCATGAGCTGCTGCGAGAGGGAGCCGCCGCCGGTCTGCGGCTGCGCGAGCATGAAGGGCAGCTTGCAGAGCTGGCACGCCTGCGCCACGCGTGCAGAGGTGGGGGGT